CAAATTATACCAGTAAGAGGCATACAGTCTCATTTGATACAGTATTCAATTTACATTTGGAATTTTACCAAATTAAGTAAGAATTTTACCAAATTGAGTAACAAAAAGTTTTCAAATCTGTAATAAATCTCCGATATTTTAAATGACTGGTCACACAGTGAATTTTTAATTTTGGATTTATATACCGACTATTTAGAGTTAACATGATATTTTGTATGGATGCTCAATTGAGATTTTTTACAAGACTATCACGGATGTGAAATGTTGTGTTCAAATGATCATTAGTGTGAATTTTAGATGATACAATAAAATTAAGCTGACATTTATACCTGATTTGCTTCATTGTATTAGTTATGTTTCAGTTCATTCAAGTTTTTGAATACATTTAATAGTGCTATTCAACAAAAAAGCGGTTAAATTTGACTACATATATGTTTTGCTTACATACACAGAAATCAAAAATTAGAAAATATCATTTTGTTGTGTACTATCTAAAATTCATACTTTTATTTATACGTCAATTAGGACAGAAGGTCATTGAATATTCAAATATCTCAGGTCAATATTGCCAAACATTATCAGTAACAAAGTTTGACATAAGTGAAAAATAACTTAAAAATTTTTAGAAGTTAAAAAATTACATAATAAAAAATATGAGCCGCGCCATGACAAAACCAACATAATGGGTTTGCAACCAGCATGGACCCAGACCAGCCTGCGCATCCGCGCAGTCTGATCAGGATCCATGCTGTTCGCTTACAGACCCTATAACAAGTAAAGAAACTGATATCGAACAGCATGGATCCTGATCAGACTGCACAGGCTGGTCTGGATCCATGCTGGTCGCAAACCCATTATGTTGGTTTTGTCGTGACGAGGCTCATATAGCTTTCAGAATTATGCCCATTGTCAGGCTAATGTATCACAACGAAGATTTTTCTTCAAAATAAAGAAACTAAAAACAGATTAACAGTTCAATAATTTAATTGTGGGTCAAGAACAACCTCTCACAAAACACTAGCTATATCACTCGGGTAACATTATCAAAGAAAATCTCTTCCTTTTAAAGCAGCACGCCTCCAGATTCATGTTAAATTTCATGAAAATTTTGATAATGTATTTGACAGTAAAATATTGTGAGGTGAACAAATAAAGTTATTTACATATTGCAATTGGCACTAACAATCCATGCCAATAACCAAAAAGAGGTCAAAATGTGCAAAAAAGCCCTTACTGCGTTAGTAACGCAGTAGAAATATGGTGATAAAATACTGCAAAATCAGTCTTAAATCGCAAATAACATGTAAAATTTAACATTGATCTTGATTGTTTTAACCTTTCTTGAAATATTAGTACATTTTTCTCAATTTTCATTTCCTTGAAATATTTTGGCTCATCTGGAGGCGTGCAGCTTTAAAAGAAGCCAACAACTTATTTATATTACTTACTTTCAACACGAATTGACAAAAATGTACTAATTATCATTATTTAAAATAATAAAATTCACAAAACTTTATCTATGTTTTTTTTTCAAAACAAATTCACAAAACGTTAATTTATATTTTAACAAATTTACAAAATGTATCAAAATATAATTCTTCCTAAGATTTCAGATTCTGTCACATATATATTTCTTTACAGTACACCAACTGTTTCTGAGAAGTATTTTTTTTTAATTTTTCTTCTCCTCATAGATGACCGATAATTATTTCAAATAAACATATCCTATGATTTTTGGTTCATATCCTGGTACCTTTTATCAAGGTTTTTCTGTCTATGCGTTTTACTTTGTGAATGTTGAGCAAAGTGGGTCTCTGTGTTTAAAGTTACATCACACATTGGACAATAATACTTCCCGCTGGGAGTCCGGAAGTTACTGTAGTCAATGTTAGATTTTGGTCTCATCGGTCGATCTCCAAACTTCTGTAACCCTCCTGCTCCTCTCCCTCTACCAAAGCCTTAAAACAATATAGTTATCATGTAGTATTCCAGTGGATCTTAATGTGTATACACAATCAAATGTTTTAGCGTATACATGTACTGCATTGTCATTTTAAAGAACAAAACCTTACCATATATAACTGTGCACCTGATTCAACGACAGTCACATGTAAAGTGTTTTCAGAACTACATGTATACATATCTTCATTTAACTTATAGAGGACCACTAGGCAATGCTATCTGCCCCCAATGTCTCAGCTTTGGTCCTTTCAGTTCCAAAGGCATTTTTTTAAAGATTTTCCCTAAATTAGTATTTATGATAATGACCAAATGCAACTACGAGGTTGCACAATTTCTATCAGAAGATAAATAATTATTATTAGTTATAAAGATATCTAAAGTTAGATGCCCCTTTGCCTTTTTTTAAGCGGCATAAAAACTAAAATAAACAAGCAATTATCATAGTATTGCAAGCAATCCATAAGTCCCCTACCGGTTAGAACCCCATCAACATTCTGAAGGGCCATTGGCCATTCACTTATGTTTCAATTTTTCTCTATTTTAAGTAAACTTGTTGGAAAAGTTCTTTAAAAGTGATCACAGGAAACAGTTTTTATGAACAGACAGACAGACGGACTGAAGGACACTCTAAAGTTAATATTTGAAACATCCCTGTTACCAAAATATAACATTTTAAAAGCAAAATTCTTAAAGAGGAGATAACTCTTGAATTAAAGATGCAATGTCATAAAAATGTTCAGCTCTTTTTGACTTATCACAAATATTGTTATATTTGCCATGTTTTAAGCCTATTTGTTGCCAAGGCAACTGATATTTTTTCAAAATAGGAAGAACAGATAAGACATGCATAATCTCAAGACTGCTATCTACCCATATGTCGTTTCATAAAAATATTTCCAGTACTTTTTGAGTTATCACTGGATTCAGTTTATGTGTAAAATTTGCCATATTTTCAGTATATGTGTTGCCATAGCAACCAGAATTTTCAACATAGGAAGAAAAGAAAAAGACGTGCATAATCTCAAGACTGCCATCTACCCATATGTCAAGTTTCATAAAAATATTTCCAGTACTTTTTGCTTTATCACTGGATCCAGTTTATGTGTAAAATTTGCCATATTTTCAGCCTATTTGTTGCCATAGCAACCAGAATTTTCAACATAGGAAGAAAAGAAAAAGACGTGCATAATTCCATGACTGCCATCTACCCATATGTCAAGTTTCATAAAAATATTTCCAGTACTTTTTGCGTTATCACTGGATCCAGTTTATGTGTAAAATTTGCCATATTTTTAGCCTATTTGTTGCCATAGCAACCAGAATTTTCAACATAGGAAGAAAAGAAAAAGACGTGCATAACCTCCATACTGCCATCTATCCATATACCAAGTTTCATAAAAATATTTTCAGTACTTTTCAAGTTATCGCGGGATCCAGTTTTGTGGACTGACAGACGGACAGACAGACGGACGGAGGGTAAACCTAAAGTCCCCTCCGGTAAACCGGTAGGGGACTAATAATTTCTGGTTTGTAGTAAATTAATTATTTTCCTAACATCTTTTATTCAGATTCTGTGACCTATTTATACGTCAGGCTCATATCAGTTATTTAACTTTATAAGAGAACCAAATAACTTTATAAGAACAAATCCTTGGTCAAATACTACAAAGAAGTTTTGGAAAGAGATCTTGTACCATGAAATTATTACAACAGATTACACATGATCAATATCAGATAAGATGTATCCAGAACTTGACAACCTTATCCTGGGGTACAAACAAACATTGACGGTTATGGCTTCACTTTGCAACACTGTTCACAATAGTGATCAAAGCTTATTATGGATATATTTGTAAGTTTGTTTGCACCCCATAATTGGATGCGAAAAACCCACATTGAACAGTTCAGAGTATCTCTATTCAATAGTGTAACACTTTGTGGTCAAGTGAGATAAAAACTTTATATCTTCCCCATTCCTTTCGCTTATGATGTTAAACTTAAAGGTTCTATTCAACTTGAAGTACTTTGACACCTAAACCGTTGACTAAATGACCTCCAAAAGATTATGGGTCACCTGCTTTGATGAGATTTGATGAGTGACCTAGTTTCCAATGTGACCTAGACCTAAAATAACCAGAATTTTCATATTCAATAAAAGGTTATCATCTTGTATACATGGCACTTTCATAATTGCATGATATCAAAGAGTTACTAACTGACAAGGCAATTATTTAACTATAGAAATGCTTCTGCGCCAGAAATGTGAAGGGTGTGTGTGTGGGGGGGGGGGGGGAACAGTGGACATTTTAAAATTTTAAATCTGAACTTAATGATGATAAAATAACTCTAAATCATTCTTCAACAAATTTATTTTTCCCAAAGATGAAAAAAATGATTACACATCAATTTTGATGAAAATGGAAATTGAATGAGAACATCAGTTATGTACACTTTAACATGATTTTTCAACGGTAAAAAACTATGCCAATGATAATTAATAACTTACAGTGGAACCAGTGAGAATAATGTGTTAAGTTCAGAAAATATATATTTGTTCAGTATATAAATAGCAAAACAACTTCTTGAAATTAATAATGTTGAAAACACATCAAGTTATGAAATAAGAGTTTTTTCCAGAATAATTATAACATGTTATTACTTGCAGTAATTGTTCACCCAATTTATCTAACATTTTGAAATGAAGTCCAAATTTACAACTTTATAGTATTTCAACAAACTAAAAAAAAACAAACTACACAAAAACATGTGATGAATTTTTGATTTTCTCAAAATATGCTAATCAATGGGGAGTCACTATCCCTTAAACTTGTATGAACTGAAAAGGTTTAGCCGGACAAATTCTCCAACCAGTATACAGCCAGGCCAGCCTGAATGCCCAGGCAGGCTGACCAGCCTTCATACCACTGACCTACCTACTTCAAGTTTTTATCTTTATATCCCTATAACTTTGTTAATGTACAGTTCCAACAATGGAAGCTGTCCTTGAGGTTATAAAACTTCTTTCCGAGTTCCATCTCAAAACTCAGGATTATCATTGGTCAGTGAACATTTTGTGACAGTTTCCGACCAATCAAATACCTGAGATCCATTTTTGAGCTTAGATAAATTCTTTATATTCTCAGACCCAGGACAAGACGATTTAAGGAATTCAGCAGTTAAAGGGCTACACTACTGAAAACATGACTGTCAAAAGCAAATACATTGTGTTTTATGTAAAGTTTGTAGGAAAGAATTACAGAAGGATCAATATATACATGTACTAATCAACATAATGTGGTCTGACTCAAAATGAAACATATATACAAATTTATAGGGTTCCATGTCATGCATATGTAAAACAAATAATGCTGACGTTTATGAAATGAAAACATGATGATGGTCATTTTTTTAACATCAACTTCATAATCATTCTTCTTCCATCAATAAAAAAATAATATTTCATACTGTTAATTCTACACATCTGTAAATTTCTGTAATGAAATATTTGGACATATCAACTGTTTCTGTTTCATACAATAAGCATTATAATTAACATTGCTATACAACCATACAATATGCAAACAATAAGTTCAGGCTTCTGTTAAATAATTGTCAATTAAGTAAGAACACTAACACAAATTACAATTAACTTTTAACCGGCTGAATTTTTGTAATGGATTTCTCCGGTTATGCATTTGAAACAGTGCATTAAAAATTTACAGGATTTAAATATCAGAATACAAAATCTTACTAGTTTTGTTACCAGCAGTATAGTCTGTCAGACTGCACAGATGTGCAGCCTAGCCTCTATTGTGGTGGCAAATGTTTATCACTTGTGACTTCAGCAAGTTAAAGTTGATTTAATTAAGAAATAATGTAACCAAAACAGTGATTTTATCGCTCAATAAAATCACTGTTTTGAGTTCGGATGCGAGGAATTATAACACGAGGGTGTAGCCCAAGTGATATAATGATGCCCATCCGAACGACAAACAGTGATGTAATCAAGCGATAAAATCACGGATTTGGATATATCATTTCGATTCTAACACAACATCAACAAATAAATGCTGCGGTACCTGATATTTAGCGTTAATTGCTCCTGATTTTTTTCTGTACTTATTTTCAGCGCATCACATTTTTAGTGGTTACATCACATGTATAATGATTTTGTCAAATGTTTAAATATAGAACGTCAACAGTGACTTTGTAACATAATAACACACACTTTTGGTTCTTCTATATTCAATAGGGAATCCGAAAAATGCAGGTCGTGTTAGAATGGATATTTTCTTCAATGAGAAATTCCATCGAGGGCAATATTACCCATTTCATTCTCTCATCTAAGTGCAGCTTGTAAAAACTCTCATCTCTTATGTTCTTTTATTACCTGATACCTTATATAAATGTAATTTGGTATTTTTAACTGTTTTTTGAAATTCTAAAAACGTCAACGTTCGCAAACTGTTGACAGGTCAATAGTTTAGACTGTTCCCCTCATGTGCTCTGACGTCATTGATGTCATAGAGGATTCCCCTCGTAAAGCGTCCATTGATCTTGATCATAAACCAGACATGACGTGACATAGTTAAAGTATTAATTTTAATTATTAACATATGTGCAAAACTATTTTCTTGTTCCCTTTTTCATCTGCAAGTACTGTTAAAACACTAATTGATCAGGTAATACAACAGCTATTTCATATGTGATTTGGGAACAGTCAAACAATTGTCCCTCGGTGTCAGGGAAAGTGTTTTGAACTGTTGCCCTCGGCCTACAGCCTTGGGCAACAGTTCAAAAGACTACCCCCTACACCTCCGGCCAACAGTTTGACTGTTCCCAAATCACGTATGTAATAACTGTATAATACAATTCAATCATCACTATACATGAAAAAGTAGAAGAATCTATTTTTAGCTTTGATGACCTTGACATTGACCCTAAACAGTGTCTAAAATTATACTCATTATAAGACAATGCATGGTAACTTCATATCTTACATCAAAATTATCTGTCGTATTAGGAAAAGTAGAAGAATCTTTTTTTTTAGCTTTGATGACCTTAACATTGACCCTAGTGTCTAAAATTATACTCATTATAAGACAATAGTGAATATTTTTCTTTATATACACAACAATTCACATAACTCTGGAGATCTTAGCTAACACATATCAAGTAACTAACTAAAATATATCCCTTTGGACAGGAAAACAGAAACCTGTGAAAAGTCAAACAGTCTTATTCATTAATCACATCTCCTTGGAAACCCTGCAAATTCTAAATAACATTATAAAAGTTTGGTAACTGCTTCTGTAACTTTTTCCGTCTTTTAGATGAGGTAGTTTCCACAGGCTCCTCCTCGACTGGATTAATGATTGGCGTCGGGTTATCGGTAAAAAAGCTGGCTGGACCCTCGAACCTGCTTGTGAATGCCTCGTTTTGCGTAGGTTCTCTATATGGCATCACTTTAAATCCAGGAGGTAACCTCTGACCTACAATATACAAATGATGACATTAACAGGTGTTCAATCAAACAATTACTGTGCTCTGAATTACCTTTATATTTTCTACAAACTTTTTTTGTGCCCACTAATGCTTAAAATAGTGCACAAAAAGGCATCTAAGATCTTTATAATTCATTAATGTTGGAATGCTGCCATATGACTTAAGCTTTGTCAGAGAGACTTAAAGGGACTCCACTGAGGTTTTTTGACAAGACGGGACTGGAAATAATTTTTTGAGATTATTACTCCAGTTGATGTAGATCTATACTAATAACTCAGGTGCAAAATTTGAGATCATTAGCTCCCTCCGTTTTTCCAGAATAATTATTATAATAGTGGACAAGGGTGCCATAGTCACAAAATACGCCCGTTTACGAAAGCTTTAGATGGAGATGGGGGCATTATGGATAAGTGTTATCTAGCAAGCAAGTTTTTATCCTTGGCACTGTGTTGTTAAATGAACCTTAAAACAAATCAGTAGGGAAGATAAAAAGTACATGTAATTGTAATTTAATAACTAAAAAATTCTGATTTAAGATTTTATTCTAGGGAAATACATTTCATTACAATTCTTAATCTTTGAATGAGCTGAACTGATATTTTCTTGAAAATTAAAATATAATTAAATTTCTATGGGAAAGTATTTACATTTGATAAGGTAATTACTGTATGATCTTTATGAACAAATACCAAGTCTACAGAACACCATAGTTATCACAGTTAAGAATCTTGACCAATGAATGAAACATGTGTAAATAAATGTTACATTCTTTAGAACATACTCAAGTCCAAGAAAGAGGATTATTTTATGCCCTTTGATTAAATTCTATTTTTAGAATTGAAAGTGAAAGTAGATCAAGGGGAGTAATTGTGTAAGTCATTTATGAACAAAGTAATAACTTTGTTGTCCCCCTTTGATTAAATTCTATTTACAAAATCTGGATATTTCATCATCTTTAGTGACCTTGACCTTGTATATATTGACCTAAATTATATGTATCACAGCCATAGTATTGATAATGACCATTTGTGTTACAATCCCTCAATAAATGATGACTAAATGGTCCATATACACATCTTCATATTTTTATCTGAACTTTGACCTCTATGTGTGACCTTGACCTTGGCCGCAAGGACCTGAATCTTGCACGCGACACTCCGCCTCACAATGGTGAACATTTGTGCCAAGTAATATTGAAATCCCTCTATACATGTGGAAGTTTTGCTCCGGACAAGCATTTTTCAATGACCTCTAAGTGTGACCTTGACCTTTGACCTAGAGACCTGGTTCATGTGCGCGACACTGCTCCTCATAGTGGTGAACATTTCTTTGAAGTTTCATTAAAATCCCTCCATACATGTAGGAGATATGCTCCGGACAAAATTGGACGCCGCCCGCCCGCCCGCCAGGGGCGTTCCCATAATACGTCCCGTTTTTCAAACGGGCGTATAAAAATGACCCAAAATTGAAAAGCGTTTAAACGCTTTTTACTCAAATCGGACTGAGAATAGCACAAACATATGATTTTCAATGTATTTCTTGTACATTTCTTGGTTATATATTATTTATATTTCTGTTTTAAGTGCTCATGTTTATCTATGTGAAAAATTAAATTTTTATGTCTTTAGGCTTATAAACCTCAGTGGAGTTCCTTTAAAACCCAACAAACAAACAATTTTACAGTAAAAAGTGATGAAGGAGGAATCTACCTTTACAACTGAAGGAATTTTTAGAAAATGGATCTGAGGTTATTAAGTCTGCTATGTCAGTCTTTCCTTTATATAATATGTACGGTATCTCATCTATCAAATAGCAAAAGTTATGTTCCTTAACCAGTCAACCAAGGTTAAGTTCACATATCTTCTGAAATCAAAGTGTACATTCTTCTTTGAATGTAATCAAAGTATTCCTCACAAACTATGGTAAATTAACACTGTTTTTCAAGGGTTTCATTTTACCACTGTCTATAGTTATATAGAACAGTTACAGATAAAGAGAACATTACAAGAAAATCTTAATATTTTTTAGCCAATATCCACAAAATGTGATAAACCTTGCCCTACGGGACTAAAAGTGAATAGTCTTTGCTACCAGTATAGAAACAGGCCAACATGAACATATGACCAGTCTAACCAGGCTCTATATTGTTGCCTGACCAATTTTAAATGTTCATCCTGATACCCCAATACTTGGTAACAGACAGTTTCACCAAGAGCTCAACATCTGATGTTAACATTCTGTATTCTGTCATGATAAGCAAGTATTCCAAGTTTCATGTTGATACTTTTTGAAATGTTTGAATAATAGGCTAATATTTAAATGTTTTGCACGATGATTATGCCTTAGCAATCATAATAGCTCAACTGAAACAGACAAGCTAAAGATGGAAGCGGAAGTTCATGTATATAAATTAGCAGGCTGAGTGTTAAATGCTCAAAGATTACACAAAGTTCAACAATTTCTCAGCCATAAAAATATGTGTATAATATCAAAAGTTCATACGATAGGACGATCATAGATGAAAAGGAAAAAAATTGACAGAGTAAAAAGTAATTCAGAGCAACAATAAAAGTTTGTTCTTGGCTTTCTTTCAAATGTTTTATTTCTTCATGAAACCTATATAAAGCAATCTGTTTTTGTTTCATTGTTGTTTATAGTTTTATTATTTTATATTTTTTAGTTTGTATATTTAAGAAATAATATATCCCAAACAGTGAATTTATCACTCAACTAGAACTCTGCGAGTCGGATGTGTCGCCTTGTGAACAATATAGTTTTGGAGAAATGGCCAGGACAAAATGTCAAATGAAATATGAAAATTAACAAAGGGCAATAACTCAAAAATAAGAAATGCAGAGCAGCAGTTTCTGTGCATTGCACTTCTTATCAATAAGATCAATCATCCTATGAAGTTTAAAGTCCATAGCTTTTTTACTTGAGGAGAAATGGCCTGGACAAAAAGTATAAAAATTAACAAAGGACACTAACTAAAAAAGTAAGAAATGCAGAGTACCGGTTCTTGTGTACTGCACTTTTTCTTAATGAGATCTATCATCCTATGAAGTTTCAAGTCCATAGCTTTTATACATTAGGAGAAATGGCCCCGACAAAAATAAAGTATGAAGTATGAAAATTAACAAAGGACAATTACTCAAAAATTAAGTAGTATAGAGTACTGATTCTTGTGCACTGCATTTCGGTCATTATAAGAAGCATGCATACCATGTTTGAAGTCAATCTGACTTATAATGACTGACTTATGCTCCGGACAAGCTTAAGGGGACGCCAACAAAGACGCCAACACAGCCAACAAGAGTAGCCCTCATATGTCGCCTTTTTGAAGACGACACAATAAAATCACTGTTTAGAGTTTAGATGCAAGGAATTATATCAAGAAGGAGTAGACCCAGTGACATAATGATGCGCATCCGAAATTCCGAAACAGTGATTTTATCAAACAATAAAATCACCGAATTGGATATATTATTTCGATTCTTACACGCCATCAACAAATAAATGTCAGTAGCACTTTCCTTCCAGAGAGAAACAATGTTATGTATATGTTTCAATAAAGGGTAGCGTCCAGAAATAAACTTTGATATCTTTAGCAAAAATGAAAAAAAAATATATATATAATTTTCTATTCCTTATAAAAATAATGAGCAAACAAGCAAATTCGATATATAATGTAAGTTTTTGTCTTTTGAAGGTATTTCAATGGAGGGAAACAAACTGGCTATATCTTATCTATGTCAAGTTTGTTTACCATACTTTATACATTGTCAAATAAAATTAATTCATAACATTGTATGTAATATGTACAGTGACCTAGAAAAAAGTTAAATACAGAATTAAAAGCCAATGAAACAAAGACACATTTGAAAGAAAACCCAAAAAATTGAACAAGCAATGTCTCTGTATGTCTGAAAATAAAGTTCTGAAAAAATTCAAGAAAATTCAAGAAATACCTTAAGAGCAACAAAGGGTGAAAACTTTCAAATTGCCAAATACTGCTTTTCTCTATGAACTTGCACTGTTTTTGAATTTGAAATGCGCTGGCTCTACACTGAAAGAAAAGGGTTTGTTAACAGTAGTGTTCAGACAGTTAGACTAAAAATCAAAATGTCTCACCACATAAACCACGGCGCAGTTGTGTAATAAAGCCATTTAATAACTAGAAATGTGTCCATAGGACACGGGTGCCCCCACCGCGACACTGTTCTGTCAATCTTTTTACTAAGTCAAGGGAAATAACTCTACAAATACTGGATAAATCCACAAGCCAAACCCCAGGTGCAAATCTAAAATATGCTGAGCAACCTGCCCATAAGGTTTATTGACTATGTCAAATCCTTTTTGAGAAACTTGCGACACAAGTTGAAAATTGCAAAAATTTTCTACGTGAAGGGCAAGAACTCTAAAAATACTAAATAAATCCAGACGAAAATACCTGGTGCACAACTGCACATGCTGATCAATATTCCTGTAAAGTTACATGACTGTAGGTCAAATACTTTTTGAGTTATGTGCAACACATGTTGAAAATTGCCAAATTTTACTAAGTCAAGGGCAATAACTCTGAAAATAATAAAAATATCCAGATGAAAATACCCAGGTGCACAACTACACATGCTGATCAACATTCCTGTAAAGTTTCATGACTCTAGGTCAAATACTTTTTGAGTTATGTGCGACACAAGTTAAAAATCGCAAAATTTTACTAAGTCAAGGGCAATAACTCTGAAAATACTAAAAATATCCAGACGAAAATACCCAGGTGCACAACTACACATGCTGATCAACATTCCTGTAAAGTTTCATGACTCTAGGTCAAATACTTTTGGAGTTACATGCGACACAAGTTGAAAATTGCAAAATTTTACTAAGTCAAGGGCAATAACTCTGAAAATACTAAAAATATCCCGACCAAAATACCCAGGTGCACAACTACACATGCTGATCAACATTAATGTAAAGTTTCATGACT